TACAAAGTTGGTGTAAACATCACAAACGTATTTTTCTCGCTAACTAAACGCGCTAAGTATCTTTTCAGCTCCGAATAGTCGTTTTTGTTGGATTTTAGAAAGTTTTCTGCAAATTTGTTTTTCAGCTGGTTTTCATTCGGAAATTTAACTTTGTCATACAAACTTGGTCTAAACATCACAAACGTGTTTTTATCGCTAACTACATAGTTGACCCAACACCACAATCGTGTTTTTCTCGCTAAGTAAACGTGCTAAGTATCTTCCCGGCTCCAAATCGTCGTTTCTGTTGGAATTTAGGAAATTTTGTGCAAATTTATTTTTCTGCTGGTTTCTCTTCAGAAATTTAAGTTTGTCATACAAAGTTGGTCTAAACATCACAAACATATTTTTCTCGCTAACTAAACGCGCTAAGTATCTTTTCAGCTCCAAATATTCGGTTTTGTTGGATTTTAGGAAGTTTTCTGCAAATTTATTTTTCAGGTGGTTTCTCTTCAGAAGTTTAACTTTGTCATACAAACTTGGACTAAATATCACAAACGTGTTTTTCTCGTTAACTACAAAGTTGGCCAAACACCACAATCGTGTTTTTCTCGCTAAGTGAACGTGCTAAGTATCTTCCCGGCTCCAAATCGTCGTTTTTGTTGGAATTTAGAAAGTTCTCTACAAATTTGTTTTTCAGCTGGTTTTCCTTCGGAAATTTAACTTTGTCATACAAACTTGGTCTAAACATCACAAACGTGTTTTTCTCGCTAACTAGAAAGTTGGTCCATACAACACAATCGTGTTTCTCTCGCTAATTAAAAATTTGAGAGATAGTTAAGAATCTCGAATTAGGTAGAAGTTGGTCTAAACAACACAAACGTGTTTCTCTCGCTAACTAAAAATTTTAGAGATAGTCATGAATCTCGAATTAACTATTAAAAAATTTTAGAGATACTTAAAAATATCGATTTAGGTATTGAAAAATATTAGAGATTGGTGAAAATCTTGATTTAGCTATTGAAAAATCTTAGAGATAGGTAAAAATCTCGATTGAGCTTTTGAAAACTTTTAGATATAGTTAAAATCTCGATTCTAGCTATTGAAAATTTTTAAAAGTAACTGAAAATCTGGATTACGCTATGGAAAAAATTTTAGATAGTTAAGAATCTCGAATTAACTGTTAAAAAATTTTAGTGATAATTAAAAATCTCGATTTAACTATTGAAAATTTTACAAAGGGTTAAAAATCTCGATTTAGCTGTTGAAAAATTTTAGAGATAGTTGAAATCTCGATTCTAGCTATTGAAAAATTTTAAAAGTAACTGAAAATCTCGATTTAGCTATGGACAAATTTCAGAGATAGTTAGGAATCTCGAATTAACTATTAAAAAATTTAGAGATAATTAAAAATCTCGATTTAGCTATTGAAAAATTTTAGAGATAGTTACAAAATCTCGAATTAACTATTAAACAATTTTGGAGATAATTAAAAATCTCGATTTAGCTATTGAAAAAGTTTAGAGATTGTTAAGAATCTCGAATTAGTTAGAAGTTCGTCTAAACATCACAAACGTGTTTCTCTCGCTAACTAAACGCGCTAAGTATCTTTTCAGCTCCAAATCATCGTTTTTGTAGGAATTTAGGAAGTTCTCTGCAAATTTATTTTTCAGCTGAATTCTCTTCGGAAATTTTACTTTGTCTTACGAAGTTGGTCTAAACATCACAAACGTGTTTTTCTCGCTAACTACAAAGTTGGCCAAACACCACAATCGTGTTTTTCTCGCTAAGTAAACGTGCTAAGTATCTTCCCAGCTCCAAATCGTCGTTTTTGTTGGAATTTAGGAAATTTTGTGCAAACCTATTTTCCAGCTGGTTTCTCTTCAGAAATTTAAGTTTGTCATACAAAGTTGGTCTAAACATCACAAACGTATTTTTCTCGCTAACTAAACGCGCTAAGTATCTTTTCAGCTTCGAATATTCGGTTTTGTTGGATTTTAGGAAGTTTTCTGCAAATTTATTTTTCCGGTGGTTTCTCTTCAGAAATTTAACTTTGTCATACAAACTTGGACTAAACATCACAAACGTGTTTTTCTCGCTAACTACAAAGTTGGCCAAACACCACAATCGTCGTTTTTGTT